CACAAGGTCTTCAGCTTGTTTCTGTATGAGGTTTAGTTGAATGAAAAAATTACAGAGAATCTTTGATGAGAAATCATATAAAGCCAAAAGTTTATCTTGATCCTTTAAGATTTCAGAAAGGGTCTCTTCATTGAATTCCTGTACTTGTAAATCTATCTTAAGCTTGCTTCTATCAGTATGAAATGCTGGACATAAGAATAGAAGGTGCTCTGGTGATGCAAACTAATGTATTTATGCTGCAGGTGTTACACCACTTCGAAACTTCTGAAAATTGGATGAATTTTTTACTAAAGTGCCATGAATTTGTCAAAATAGCTACAGTATCATGTATTAAGGGGATGTCAGATGATGCAAATATTAATTATTTAGTATTACCACAAGCAAGATCAGCTAGTAATTTACTTGAGTCTACAACATCACAATTATCATGACAAAATTGAGTGATCAGGATCTTTTCTCTGCCTTTATTGGTGTTACACTTGAGAAATTGAACAAAATCTTCTGCAGATAGTGTTGTACTCGATTCTGGGTACATTGCAGACAATTTAATATAGAAAGTCTTAAACCCCTGTAATTTCAAATTTACTGTAGTGGACAGTTTCTTCTCAGATACAGCTGTTATCTTCCAAAATTCTTTAATTGCTTCAGTTGACAGTTGATTATTGGCTATTGCCAACCTATGTAAGAACATCAAAAAGTGATTGTTTACATTACACACTGCACAACAGCATCCAAATAACAATCTAAGAGCTCTGATGCTGCATGAATTTGGCATGTGAAAAAACCATCTGTAAAATAAGTTCTGTAATGTATCCATTTTTTTAAGAAGGCAATGTTCTGGCCATATTTCTAGCCCATATAATGCAGCTGCCCATACCAAGGAGTAAAAAAAAATCTTAATGCCATTTTTGTGTCTTTCAATTCCAATTTACTTTGAACATTATGTAATGTTATTAATCTGGAACATCCTACATTGAAATTATTCATGATGTGACTCATTGCATGACAACCATTTTGCAAGCAAACCCATAGGTAAATCCCTACTTTTGAAAGTGTGCAGTTCACCCCATCAATCTGCCAGGTCATTCCTGATTTATTTAGATTTCTTACTGCTTTTGATGATAACTAAAATTGTAACACTGAGTAAGATGCAAACCTGCTTCTCAGAGACTCTGACACTTTTATACACTGTATTTCAAAGATAAGAACACCCAAATTTAAATTTAGACACAAATTGAACCTAAAAAAACTGCTGATTTTCAATTGCTGACATTGAAATCCTTTTTTTTTTTTACTTGATCCAAATTATCCCTTTAGGAGCAAGGATTGTTGGGGAGTGAGTCGGGTACCTGTAAATAATAATAATAATAATAGTCCCCCTGCATTGCTGCATCCCAAAAACCGGTCCTTCAGTGGAAGCCCAGCACCAAAAAAACAAGTCCCAAAGGAATTGTGAATGATGCACAGCATCACGTTCAATTCCAACATAATCAGCCAATCAGAGGCCAATATTTTACCCACAAGGATAGCTACTTTCCTTCTCTTTCTTCTGTCTCACAAACCAGGAACACAGAATTCATTCCACTGCCCATTCTTGAAGTGTGAAGAGCTCTTAAGGCATCTGATTTTAAAATTTTGTTGTCTGAAAGTATGTGTTCGCAAAGTCTGTTGTCCTTTCTATTACATGACTATGAGTCGAGAATAAAAGAACTAAGTTCTTATTCTGGATTAATATCCTTCATACAATAATCTCATCCACATACAAACATTCAATACAACAATACAAATGCACAAACATACAAGTCCAGCTTGCCTTTACTTTCAAATGGGTTGAGCTTTAACAGAGTTTTGACTATGGAGTTTACTGTATGAAGCTTGGATGAGATCTCTCTTGAGATTTCACCAAGCAGGTGTATTTAAACCTAGCCAGACTAGATGGGGGAAACAAAGGAAACAATGATCGCAACCCTAATAGTTGAAATCCTGATCCGTGAAATGAACAAGGGGGAAATTGCTCTGAGTGAAATATAATTGCGCTGGTTACACATCAGTGATAATGACCAGGCGCAATAAGAGCAAGAGAAACGAATATCACTCCTATTTTGTAAAGAGTTGAGCCCACCAGGATTTCAGGATTGATTGTACTTTAATTACCTGAGGAAGGTTACCGTAACTTGTCATGAGAAGTTGTAAAGACTTCTCATCAAGGAAATTGCAGCGATTATATTCGCTTTAGCAATTTCCCATTTCTAGGCTTTCTAAAAGGTTTCTTTGGAAACTACTAAAAAGGGTCTTCTGTAAATTACTGTATTTCTAAGATAACAAGTCCAAAATTCTCTGAGTTGTATTATTCTTTGGGACATTATTAAATACAGTGGGCCCCCGACTTACGACGGGCCCATGTTACGTCCGTTTCATCTTACGACGCTTTTCTTAAATTAAAAAAACCCCCGACTTACATCTGGGTTTCATGTTACAACTATAAAAGCCCTTTGACTTTCCTCACTCCAGTCTTCCTCTCGTTTCCAACCACACCACCAAAAAAGCCAGTAGCAATGGAGGAATTATTCCTGCCACATTTTTTTTTCCTACTCCTTGCAATAACACTCCATTCAAAAATTGTAGAACTTAAACAGACTCAAAATCAAGCTTTAAAATATGAAGGATGAACTCAAACAATGTTAACACTCAAAATGTGTTTATGACATGAAATTTTGGGCACAGTATGTATTAAATTTCTTTCTTTGCACCTTAAAAAACNCTATTAATGCAATTTCTGACAAAAAGTTGAATTATGAAGGAAATTTTAGGTAAATATTTTTTTTCTGGAACAAATTAATTTTTTTATAATGTAACCTTAAGGGAAATAGGGTTTCAGCTTATGACGGCCCCATGTTATGACGTCCATCCTGGAACGGATTGATGACGTAAGATGGGGGCCCACTGTACTCAAGTCTTCTGGGGCCTCTATAAAGAGGCTCCCAGCCAGTCCCAGGCTGATTGCTGTGTTTCCTTTATTATTCTCATATTTTCTTTTTTAAGACTTCTTAGTCTCTAACAAGGATGAAGTATACATACACTTCAAATTATTATTCTTTAATCATATACCCGCATATAAAAAAAACACATACCCTTATTTCCTCTCGAATTTGAGAAAAAAGGTACTCGTGGTACAACTTGTACTTGAGCAAATATGGTACACAACATAATTTACATGTGCGATTTAAATTTCTGTGTACCCCGAACATTCATGACTTATTTAGTAACTAAAACTCGCGTAAAAGCTATAAAATTTTGAGACCTCTGAGAAAACATTGCATATTTTTAAATATTCGTCTCTCACTTGCCATTTGGAAGTCTACATGGTGAAATGAGTTGATGAACTGTGGAATCAAACATTTTTTCCCCTCGCAGGTTGAATGAAGACCCGACGATCAATCCGTTCCTGAAGAACGAATACGAGAAAAAGGAAGAAGTTCGTTATGAGGATGACCCAGTTTACGAACAGCCAAGGACTCGTCAAGAAAGTTCTGCTGTTCGTCGTCCTTCCTATTCCAGATTCCAATGAGAAATTCCCGAAGGAAGAAAAAGATCCACGAAGATTGTTCCTCATTGATTTTTTCCATATGAATGCGTATTTTTCTTCTTCAGAATGTACAGTATTCGAGAGTTACCATTGGAGAAGAACACATATTTATATTATTTTCGACGTGAAAAGAGGTCTGATGAGGAATTTTTCATCACCCCTTATTTTCTTAACTTAAATATTTCTTCATTTTTGAATGGTTACTTAAGGAATATCACTTCATTTCCATTTGTATAATTTTTTAACCTTCTTTAACAATAAAATAATGCATGCTTCATATTTCAGAAAAAAAATGTTTTGCTTTTCCAATTTGTTAAAAAAATTCTCAGTTTTTTGTAGCCGCTTTTTAACGATGCGTAGAAGGTCCAAGAAATTAGGGGATGGGCGAATTAACCGCAGAAAGCTAGTATGATGCTAAATAATTCAAGCAAAATGTGAGTATACTTGAATTGGGAATTGAAAATAAGTGCTTCGCCATTATTCAAAATTTGAAGTATTACAAATGGATTAAACCTTTTGGATGCGTTTTACATGCAGGCGCGTGGAATGATTATTTGGTGTGAAATACTTGTGAATAAAATGCATGAATCAAGATTCATTGTGGAAATTCCTGAGTTCTCTCATTTTGTATTTACTCCATGTGGGATGGAATTTTTTGAGCATAAAACTAAAGAAGACAAAAATTGCATTTTCGAATTTTGCTTGTTTCTATATTAGCCAGACCACATTTTTTCCAATTTTTACTAATCAAAATACTGTAGTTTGAAGCATTTTATGCTGCAATTCAATCTCATGTAACTCTATGCAGAGGAATTCACTTTGAATTTGAACAATCTACACTTCAAAGTGACTTAAGAAACTGTAAGAAACACCTGTGATCAGCAGAATTTTATAAAATCTTGTAAAAAAAATCTGTGCTTCAGATTACGCTTCAGATCTTGAAGTAATGAAGAAGAATTCTACGGTTCCTAAAAACAAATAAATATGACAAATTCATTGGTTTAAAGTTCTAACGAGAATTATGAATACAATTTTTAGTACAGTCAGTACCTTGCAATTCAATGTCCTGCAATTCAACTATCCCACAATTTGACAGTTGAATTTGCTGGGAAGTTGACTTGCAATTTGACCTTTGCCCTGCAATTCAATCTGCTTTGGCCATTTTTTCACGTTTTTGCATTAATATTTTTGAATTTAGCAGAGAGTCTTGCAATTTGACCACTTTGCAATTTGACCCAAGTTTGCCAATGGATTAGGATCAAATTGTGAGGTACCACCTGAAATTCGACGTGAAAAGAGGTCTGATGAGGAATTTTTCATCACCCCTTATTTTCTTAACTTAAATATTTCTTCATTTTTGAATGGTTACTTAAGGAATATCACTTCATTTCCATTTGTATAATTTTTTAACCTTCTTTAACAATAAAATAATGCATGCTTCATATTTCAGAAAAAAAATGTTTTGCTTTTCCAATTTGTTAAAAAAATTCTCAGTTTTTGTAGCCGCTTTTTAACGATGCGTAGAAGGTCCAAGAAATTAGGGGATGGGCGAATTAACCGCAGAAAGCTAGTGATGCTAAATAATGCAAGCGAAATGTGAGCAAACTTGAATTGGGAATTGAAAATATTTGCTTCGTCATTATTCAAAATTTGAAGTATTACAAATGGATTAAACCTCTTGGATGCGTTTTACATGCAGGCGCGTGGAATTATTATTTGGTGTGAAATACTTGTGAAGAAAATGCATGAATCAAGATTCATTGCGGAAATTCCTGATTTCTCTCATATTGTATTTACTCCATGTGGGATGGAATTTTTTTTAGCATAAAACTAAAGAAGACAAAAATTGCATTGTCAAATTTTGCTTGTTTCTATTTAGCCAGACAACATTTTTTTCGAATTTTTAAAAATGGCAATAGCTTGAAGCCTTTATTTAGGCTGCAATTTAATCTCATGTCACTCAATGCAGAGGAATTCACTTTGAATTTGAACAATCTACACTTCAAAGTGACTTAAGAAACTGTAAGAAACACATGTCAGCAGAATTTTATAAAATCTTGTAAAATAAAATCTGTGCTTCACATTACGCTTCAGATCTTGAAGTGATGAAGAAGAATTCTATGGTTCCTAAAAACACATAAATATGACAAATTCATTGGTTCAAAGTTCTAACAAGAATAATGAATACAATTTTTAGTACAGGCAGTACCTTGCAATTCAATGTCCTGCAATTCAACTATCCCACAATTTGACAGTTGAATTTGCTGGGAAGTTGACTTGCAATTTGACCTTTGCCCTGCAATTCAATCTGCTGTGGCCATTTTTTCACGTTTTTGCATTAATATTTTTGAATTTAGCAGAGAGTCTTGCAATTTGACCACTTTGCAATTTGACCCAAGTTTGCCAATGGATTAGGATCAAATTGTGAGGTACCACCTGAACAATGATTCAGATATAAATATACTTTTTGCAACTTTTTATATCTCTTCTAATGTAGAGGAACAAAATTTGATTTGAAAATGAACAGACTAAAATTGAAAATAAGGGCAAGCCACAATCAAACCAAGAACTTTATAATCAATGTTATCCTGTTAATGTATTAGGCCAAATATATAATTTTTCATCATATTTATAAATGTATGCAACTTTGAGAGGAAATGATGGTGCACAAATTAATAAACTAATGAATGAGTAACTTCACAAATGCAGTAGGACCTCTCAAAATAAGTGAAACTCTGCAGACAAGGAACCCAGTAAAAGAAATGCAATCTAGGAACTTTTTCAGTTTATGAAACTGTTATACTCATATTCTTGTTGAAAAAGGTTGCAACAACATCCAAAAGGAAACATTTGGCAATTCTCAAACTGCAAAATGGATGCTGCTGAAATTCAAAGAGAGGACTCTTTTGTTTTCCAATTTTTGAGGACTGCAGCATCCACTGGTAAAATATAATACTGTATAATATTCCTCCAGCATTCCAAAACCCTGTGCTTTGGTCTTGGAGCCTCACACCAAAGAACTTATTGCCACTAAAATCCTCAGGAACTTGTTTGACAATGAGCATCATTGTCTTAATTCAATTTACCAGCAAATAATCCCAACCTTCACCAAGATCAAGTTTAAATAAGCAACCCTTCCTCAACAATGCTTGAAAGCCTGAAAAACTTGAAATCATCACCAAATTTTCATTCAGAATCTTATTTCCATTTTTAGGCTCCACTGCTTGAACCAATTCTCTGCATGGGAAATTGCGTGAATGATTGTGTGTGTGTGTGTGTGTATTTCTCTGGATCAAGATGATGAGTTGTTGATCCTTTTGGGACATAAATAAATATTAATTTCTTGGGACCTCTATAAAGAGGTTCCCAGGCTGATTGTGGCATTTTACTCATAAAGTTTCTTTGTTTGGGGAAATCCCCAACACCCACAAGGAGAAAAAAGTGGCATGCAGTTGACATAACTGTTCACTGCTGCTTATCTATTCACTATTGAACATATATTAGCTTTTTGTGAAAGAAAAAGGGTTTGTGGGTTCATGGTCAATGAAAATAAATATGCATTTTCTGAGCTTGAGAGGATATACATCTGAAATCTCCATCAAAGGAAAGATTGGCGTGCGAAAATATTGGCAGTCCAGACTCCAGAGAACGGTTCGGTTTCCGGATGCTCATCACAGGAATAAGTGGAACTTCATTTATAGTGCTCATATCGAATCAAGAAAATCACTGAATTTACAAGTTTTAAATATAAAAATAACCAGGAATTTCTGTTACGTGAAAATGAAATTTTGTTTAAATAATCGAATTTCAGAATGAATGCGGGCGGTTTTCAAGCGCTTGTCATTATTTTCTTGTTGAATAACGCACTCATCCGAGGTACAGTATATCATACTTCATTAAAACTAGTTTTGATGAAGCAGGGTACTTGAATTAAATTTGAACAGGTCATGCTGATGCTGCTGAAAGAAAGGAAATCTCGTCAAAAAAGCCCAAGTATGACTCCATCATAGACAAAGCTGTGGATGATCTTCTGGCCATCATCGCAAATCCCAAGTTATTTCGCGTACAGGAAAGCAAAAACAAAAGAGGTACAGAAATTCAACACAGGTTGGCAAGAATTTATTTCAATTCAGAAAATAGCTACTGCATCAACCTGAATTTTCTAATTTAGCGTATCAGATAGATCTGACATTGCCAAATATATTTCGAACACTTGATTAAGACATTTTGAAAATTCATGTCTTAGATCCATCTAGCATTGCCAAATTTTTATGTGCGTCTCAAAATGCAGTGGAATTTTAGTTAGGGCCCAGTTATATATCCAGGTCTTAAGACTTTGCTGTAACAAGATATTTTATACAAAGTCTGTAAAATACTGCAGTACAGTATTTATGCAAGTACCATATGCACCTTCTTTCTGGAAAGAAAGAGAGAAAAGTGGGGTGTGTGCTTTATGTTGTTAAAAAATTTCAAAGAAGGAAAACAAAACATAAAGCCACCATATCAGTGTATGAGTGGGGAGTTAGTCTCAGGTAAAACAATTGCAAGAAATTCTGCTTGGCACCAATCCTGATTGCATTCTTCACACTTATTTTTTATTTGTAAGCGCTTTTGATCCAGACTGTCACTGTATTTTCTGGAAACAGAGATTTTCAGTCAACAAAAACTGGGGTGCAGGTTTCATGCATAAATTACTGATGTTTTGATAAGTTATGCAACCGAAAATGAAAGCAAAAGTCCTAGTCCTGATAGAAGTTACCCAAGTAAATATGGTGCAGTTGAATTTCCATGACTCAATTCACTCCAATATGTCAAACACCTCCCTGAGTTTGGAGGCATTATTTTGTTAAAGTCTCAATCTGACTTCCCTCCAAAACAATGCATTAAAAACCTCTTCAACTTAAGGCTTTACCCTCAAACCTCTCCAGCTCAAATTCCTTACATCAAAACTCAATAAATCCGATTTTTGGGGGATTTTTTGACTACTACATTATATGCACAGGAAAGAGGAAAACACTAAAAATGTATTGTGTTTTGAAAGGAAGTGAAAGACTAATTGGGCAAATTGGTACTGGGTCATCTGCCAGTCGGTCAAATCACGGTCACACACCCGCCAGTCGTCAAGCGCCGGTTGGTCTAACCATCAGCCAGGGCAGTCCTTGGCCTTGCCAATCCCCAGTCCACCAAACTGCAGTCCGGTCACCTGATTGGTGGGGCACCCAAACAATTGGGTGACAAGAATCATGCTGGTTCTTTCTAGAATTTTGTGAGCAGAATGGTATCCTACCACAGATTTTTATTTTTACAAAATTTCATCTTTTTATAAAAATTTTCACAAAAAGAAAAAACTCATCAAACCCAACCTAACTTAACCTAACATATCCTAACCTAACCTAAACTAACATAACATAAACTGACCTAACCTAACATTGCTGAAATTTTGAAGAAAAAATCTCTGCTCACTGAATTCTGAAAAAAAATCAGCATGATTCTTGTCACCCAATTGACCAAACCACAGTTTGGTGGGCTGGGGATTGGCAAGGCCAAGAATTGCCCTGGCTGGCAGTTGGACCAACTGGCACTTGACAACCGGCAGGTGCGCAACCATGAATTGACTGACCAGCAGCTGACCAGACACGGGGCAAATCAACCCTTGCCTCCAAGTCCAGCATTCTGTCAACTCATTCAAGAGAAGCAGTTTAGGGCCCAGAAAATCATGAATTACAATATCCTGGAATTCATCCTTTTTTACTCCAAACAAAAAGCTTTTTGGCCCAACTCAAAACATCCCCAACTCAAATGTTGTTGCCAGTCACTTGAAATTCAACTTCTAAAGACATTCCATTGTGCGTTTGTTTCACTGCTCAAGTCACTTTGAGCAGATCATCATGAATAAGCAACCCAGAAGTCCGCAAGAATAAAATAAGAATCAATGACCACGAATGGTTTCATCAGAATGTTCAGGAGGTTCTCCTACAATGCAGTAATTTATCTTTTCAGATGGTCAACTGAAGCATCCCTTGAATGGCTATTCAGACCATGTTCCTCATCAAGCTGCTCTGGTAATTCCTTCAAAGGATTCTGGCCCAGAAGCAATAATTTGCTCTGGGGCTTTCATTTCATCCCAGTGGGTTCTCACAGCTGCTCACTGTTTCCGCTTCCCTTGTAAAGTGGCTTCATCTGTGGTGAGTGTATAGTCCTATTATTGCAGTCATATACTTTATGCCTCAGATGAATGAAAAACCCCCAGCAAAGCCAATTTGTATTGTTGAAAATTTGTGTTTTGGTGAGAACAATTTCCATCAAGTTATAGATTGAAAAAGAACATGTATGATCCAAACTGGAAACTCTCAAAAATGTACATCAGGCCTTTTTTCAAGTACAGTGGGCCCCCATCTTACGTCATCAATCCGTTCCAGGATGGACGTCATAACATGGGGCTGTCATAAGTTGAAACCCTATTTCCCTTAAGGTTACATTATAAAAAAAATAATTTGTTCTAGAAAAAAAATATTTAACTAAAATTATCTTTATATTTCAACTTTTTGTCAGAAATTGCATTAGTAGACACAAGACATGCTTGAAAGACTGCATAAAACAAAAGTTATAAGGGGTTAGGGTAGCAAGAGAATGATTTTCACAATTTTGAGCACTTTCCACAACTTTTTTCATCCTTCATTTTTTAAAGCTTGATTTTGAGTCTGCATTGGTTACAATTTTCAAATGGAGTGTTTTTTAAAGATGTGTGAAGAAAGAAATTGTGCACAAAATTTCAAGTCAAACATGCATTTTGAGTTTTGAAATTTTGGTGAGTTCATCCTTCATTATTTAAAGCTCAATTTTGAGTCTGTTAAGTTTTACAATTTTTGAATGGAGCGTTTTTTTAAATACACGCAAAGAAAGAAATCTTCACTCACAATTCAAACTAGCAAATGCCTGGTATTGTTGATGACTGAATTTGAGGAGTAGGAAAAAATGATGTCGCAGGAATAATTCCATTGCTACTGGCTTTTTAGGTTGTGTTTGGAAATGAGAGGAAGACTGGAGTGGGGAAAGTCGAAGGGCTTTTATAGTCGTATCATGAAACCCCGACGTAAGTCGGGGTTTTTTCAATTTAAAAAAAGCGTCGTAAGATGGAACGGACGTAACATGGGCCCGTCGTAAGTCGGGGGCCCACTGTATTCAGTCAAATTTATATCTTCAGGGAATCATACTTCAAAAGTGAATAATATTTGGCATCAAAGATCCAAAATTTCTGAAATTCACACATTTTCAGAAAGTTATACAGTACAGTATATAAATCTAAACATATCAGCTGTTAAATTTTTGTGGTGCCTTTTGGGACATTTTAAACTGAGAGCTTGCTGAAATGCAGGAAATTTATGTCCAGGAAGTGTTGGTCTATGGAACAAATGTGCTATGCTAGTAACAATTTTTTATAATAAAATATTCAGATGACAAAAAAACAAGCTTTATACTGTACAGGGTTTTTTGAACCACCCTGTATGTGAAACAATCAGATTGACCATAGTGAGTGTAACACAGACAGTGCGATTAAAAATTAGAATCATTACAAAAATAAACAGTAGATCAAGAATATTCTGTTCTTTTACAAGCACTAAGAGTATTGTAAATTTTGAAATTCAGGAATTTTCACAAAATGCTGTAAAAACTCACACAATCTTCAGGTCAATAGTTTGCACGTAAATAATATGAAAGCGTTTATTTTTTTTCAGGTACCCCGGCAATGTAATTAGACTTCAGTGATACCTAATTTGCATTCAAACTAATTTGCAGCTAGTTTTAGGAAACCGTAACCCGACGAAGCAAAGAACATCAGAGGAGCAACGATTTCCAGTCACCGACGTGTTTGTTCATCAAGACTTTGCAGCATCCGGGTTAGAACTCATTTATAGATTTTAACACATGTTTACTCGATGTCAATTTTTTCAATTTTTTTTATTTTCAGACCAGCGTATGTTCATGACATTGCACTGATTCGGTTGAAGAAAGGGGCCAGAATTACAGATCATGTAAAACCTATCCGTTTACCTCTGGCACGTCAAGAGCCCAAAGGTATTGAACAGGGATCTTTCACTTTCTTACATATTAATCAAGTGAAATTTAATTTGGAAGTTGGTAATGAGTACCCCAACACATAGTTCAATCAACATTCTCACATCCAAACCCTCTCCCCAACAAACCCAAATCCATTCAAATACTGCATTCAATTCCTTCAGAATGGGAAATGCATTTCCCATTAGAAATAAGCTTCATATGGATACCAAAATAAAAAAAAATACATTTCACAATGTACAACTGCATAACAGATGTGTATGTGTGTACCCCCTTCTTTCCCTGGCATTGAAAACAAAATATCAGTAACAAGAATTGCAGTGTAAGCCAGAATTATAGCAATTGCAGCAGTTACTGAATCCAATTTAAAGCTCAAGGTCTTCAGCCCATTCCCAGATAAGCTTTGGTTGAATGAACAATTTAGAGAGAATCTTTGATGAGAACTCAAATGAGTCCAATGTTTTATCTTGATCCTCTATGATTTCAGAAATGGTCTCTTCATTGAATTCCAATAATATTAAATGTTTCTCAAGCTCATTTCTATAGTTTGAGGCATTAAAGCATTGAGCTTCTAGGCGCATTAAATCAGAGTTCAGCTGACAATTTTGTGTGGAAATTATACCGTATTCACTCAAGTACCATGC